TATTCTTAAGCACATCTATGCAAACGTTTCCTCTGGCTAAACCACAGCCTTCAGGATCTTCTGCTACAGTTAGACATAAATACCCATGCCACAGCCTGCCACAGTAAAAATGACACCAGCAAACAGTTACCAACCACTTATGGTGTATCTAGTATGTATGTAAAAAGTGAAACAGAAATATGTATCAGCCAGGTGATACAAAGAAAACGGCTGTCAGACTAGCTGCAGTAAAGGGTTAGAAAAGTGGGTGGGAGCCAGACAATAGGAGTTTTGCTAGCTAGACTGAGTTCAGACATTTTCCTGGAGGTAGGGAGCCAATGAAAGATTTTGAGCAGGGAAGAGAAATGATGGAAGAGGGTTTTGGAAAGCTTAACTAGGCAGACATCTGCAGGATGATTCAGAAGGGGACAGACTAGAGGCTTGGAAATCAATAATAATAATACATCCAAGCATAAAATGATCTAAAGACTTACCGTGATGGGGCCAGATGCAGCAGCTCACGAATATAATTCCAGCACTTTGGGAGGCCGAGGCGGGTGGATCACGAGGTCAGGCATCGAGACCAGCCTGGCCAACATAGTGAAACCCTGTCTCTACTAAAAATACACAAACACACACACACACACACACACACACACACACACAGCCAGGTGTGGTGGTGGATGCCTAAAATCCCAGTACTCAGGAGGCTGAGTAACACTAAATTCCTTTAGTGTTAGAGGAATTCTGTTGTAGAAAAACAGAGAATTCTTTAATTGCAGACCTAAACTGTTTACGAATTCTTGTCGTCATCTCCTACAATGGAGGAGCTTAACACACGTATTTGACACTAATTTCAGCAAAACATTTATTGAGATCGTGTACATAACTGAATCCGCATGGTGAGGTTTTATTGCTAGGTTGCATTCTCTGAGTTATATCAAGAATAATTTGTTTACTGTTTTAGTAGGATGACCTCTGTACTAGTCAGAGGTCAGGCCTAGCTATATTCTGCTGCATCAGCAGATCAACCTATTGATTAATTGTTGAGTCTTTTTTTAAGTTTAAACTTTGGCCAGGCAGCGATTGAAATGGATTTATTTTTGCAAGTAAGCAGATTACGAGGCAAGCAGCCTTAAAAGGGCTATTGAGAAATCTTGAAACCATTTTGTTTGGAAAGTTAAACAAATGTCTTTATTTCATAAGATAAACATCTAAATCAGAGTGGGTGCACAAGCAGTTCTCTAGTTGTTAATATTTAAATACGCATTAGTAGACTTGTCAATTTTCTACAAAAATATGTTACTGAGGCCGGACACAGTGGCTCATGCCTGTAATCCCAGCACTTTGGGAGGCTGAGGCGGGCAGATCAGGAGGACAAGAGATCGAGACCAACCTGGCCAACATGATGAAACCTCATTTCTACTAAAAATACAAAAATTAGCTGGGTGTGGTGGTGCATGCCCATAGTCCCAGCTACTCGGGAGGCTGAGGCTTGAACCCAGGAGGTGGAGGAAGCAGTGAACTGAGATTGTACCACTGCACTCCAGTCTAGGTGACAGAGCAAGACTTTGTTTCAGAGAGGGAAAAAAAAATCTGTAACATCAAAGTTTTTTTCTTTGAGACGGAGTCTTACTGCAACACCAGGCTGGAGTGCAATGGAAATGGAGCAATCTTGGCTCACTGCAACCTCTGCCTCCCGGGTTCACGCGATTCTCCTGCCTCAGCCTCTAGAGTAGCTGGGATTACAAGCACATGCCAGCACACTCAGCTGATTTTTGTATTTTTAGTAGAGTCGGGGTTTCACCATGTTGTCCAGGCTGGTCCCGAACTCCTGACCTCGAGTGATTCACCCTCCTCGGCCTCCCAAAGTGCTGGGATTACAGGCATGAACCAGTGCGCCCCGCCAACGTCAAGGATATTAAGCTCATGAAACTAGTTTAAATAATTTTAAGTAATCCCTATTTGATTTAGTATGGGTCTCATTTTAGTTAAAAAGTAGCACTTTTTTTTTTTTTTTTTTAATGGTAGAGAAAGTTCATCAAATCCTTGAGGAGAAGTTTAACATTTAGGTCACTCTTCCTAACAATATTGAGTTTGTAGAACTGGTATTGATTGAGAACTAAGTATTCTGTTTCTTCTTAGGAGTTTTAAAAATTGATTTCAGAGAATAAATTTCTAAAAGCCAACCTTCACCAAATCTACATCTCTTATTACATTTTACTTTATATTATTTTACCGTATTTTCCTTAATATTTTGTCCACACAATTAAGGGTTGTTTTTTCATTTAAATAATAAAATTCTTTAAAATGGGGTTTGGGCTGATGAAGTCTTTTTTTTTTTTTTTTTTTTTTTGAGAAGGAGTCTCATTCTGTTGCCCAGGCTTGAGTGCAGTGCTATGGTCTCAGCTCACTGCAACCTCTGCCTCCCACGTTCAAGTGATTCTCCTACTTCAGCCTCCCAAGTAGCTGGGACTACAGGCACACGCCCAGCTAATTTTTGTATTTTTGGTAGTGATGGGGTTTCACCATGCCGGCCAGGCTGGTCTCTAACTCCTGACCTCGTGATTTGCCCATCTTGGTCTCCCAAAGTGCTGGGATTATAGGCTTGAGCCACTGCACCCGGCCTTGGCTGATGAAATCCTAAACATAATCTGTTTTTTACAAATTTTAGACCCATGTTGTATACAAACATCTTGTAATAAAAGACTCAATGATATTGTATGAAAGGTCCCCTCAGCACCCTTCCCATCCCCATGATACCTCCAGCTGTAGTACTGTGCTCAGCTCTCATCCTGAGGGGTTTACACACACACAGCTCTGTTGACAAGTGGACAAAGTACTTTCCAGTTCCCTCCTCCCCCACATATCTATTTTATTTTCGTAACATTCATTTTTTGATAAACCTTTAACAGACTTAATATAATAAATGATGCTTGTCTCTTCACAATTAACGGTTTAGAGGTAAATTAACAGTTGAAGCAGCTGGGTGTAGTGGCTGATGCCTGCAATCCCAGCACTTTGGGAGGCCGAGGTGGGTGGATCACCTGAGGTCACGAGTCCAAGACCAGACTGGTTAACAGGGTGAAACCTTGTCTCTATTTAAAAAATACAAAAATTAGTTGGGTGTGGTGGCAGGCATCTGTAATCCCAGCTACTCAGGAGGCTAAGGCAGGAGAATCATTTGAACCAGGGAGGTGGAGATTGCAGTGAGTCCATATCATGCCACTGCACTGCAGCCTGGGTTACAGCGCAAGACTCAGTCTCAAAAAAACAAAGACAAAAAAACAGTTGAAGTAACTGATTAAACAATTGTGTCTCATTAGGGAATCTTTTATCGGGCTGTATTAGTCTTGCCCACTGTCGGGAAATTCTCTGTGCACAGGAGAATCTAGAGATGCATTCTGTCTATACTCTTTCAGGACCATAAACAATTTATTTCTGTCTCATGTTATTATTTCTATGATCAAGAGGAACAGGGCTCTTGAAAGCCTTACAGAGAGGGTCACCTGAAACAGATTTTGATGACTTTCAACCATTCCTTTCTTGTCTGTCTTGCCCTCTCTTCCCCTCTTCTTTACTTTCATTCTTTTCTTTTTCTTTTTCCTGTGTTTGTTAGGAATCCATGATTGTTGTTGATTTTAGGGGTAAACCCAGAATCCATTTTAGTGAGGGTTCTCCAGAGAGACAGAATCAATTATGTATGTATATAAACATATAATTTTACATATAATATATACATAACTAATTAAAAAATGTCTTTAATTATATATAATGCCTCTCTATATTACTATGTATAACTTATATATTTATATTATATATGTTGTGTGTAAAGTTTTTCTTTTTGGTGCTGAAAAGAAAAATTAGTACTGGGACAAAGGATCTCTCAGCAAAGCAATTCTTTTTGCTTCCTACAGAAAGGGTACTCTTGTTAGCAATCTTGCCATGAAAGTACAATGAACAAAGGAAAGCAGACTCATTTATTTCTTACAAATTTGGAGTTGTCCTTACTTCTATGTCTGATCTCTGTTGGCTGGAGCCAGACCTCACAATCTAAACTAAAACCTGATTGGCTAATAACTTGAAACTTTTCTAAACAGGTTAAAGCAATGTAGAGCAAAAAAAAAAAAAAAAAAAAAGGAAGTCCAAATAAGGAAGGGGCATAGGCTGTGAGCTGGGACATACCTGTGAGCACATCCAGCATAGAATGTACTATGTGCCTGTAGGCATGTATAACAGCTATAGGATAAGGCTTATAGCAAAAAACCAAGAAGGCTTTTGAAGAAAGTGTTTAAAACAAACTATTATTTCTAACACTTATGAATTTTTATTAAACAAGAAAGGAAACTTTGAAGAGGAACTTTTCTATTTCCTACTATATACATATTGCATTGATTGCATTGTAACTATAAATTTTATTATGTGGACATGTACCATAGCATGCATCTATACAAACCTTTCAAGCAGTGGTCCACAGCTGGGTTTTGAATAAAAAAGGCATACATTTTTTTCTCATTTTGTTACAATGAAGTTTACCAGTATAGAAAAGTCACATGACATTGGTGGGTCAGATTTCTTGAACCCTGCAATATGAGGAACTCTAAATACATTAAATATTGTTACACATTCAGACTTCTAATGTACAAGTACTTGGAAACAGTCACAGCCCTCACTAAGCTAGGTTGATGACATGAAGTCCAACAGCATCTGAAATACTGTGAAGGCATAACTTTACAAATAGCAATGTAAGCTTACAGAACTTGTCTTTACTAAGGTGACATGTTCATGTAATTCCAACATCTTCATGATTTAATAAACCAAATTTACTATATTCCACTTCTAAAAACCCAGATGAAACATCAAAAAGAAGCCATACAGTATAAATTGCAACTTCAGGAAAAGTTCCTGCTTTATTATTCCAAATAATTTTTCCCATGTAAAATAAATGTCCAATAGTTCCTGGTATGTGGGAAGATAATATTTGTTAAAGTCACAATGAAGCCTTGTTGACGGAAGGTTGGCTATATAAATAGCACAACTTGAGAAAAGGTTTTATCTCCAAACCTATTAGACTGGGTGAGGTAAGATCGGTAACGGCCACCTTGCAATGTTACAGGAGGTCTCATTCCTATCAGAGATCTAGAAGGTCCACCCTGGAAAGGGGGCATCATTGGCGGTCCCTGTTCATACAGGGGCATAGCACCAGGAAGGTATCCTGGCATGCCTTGATGATGACCACTATACTGACCACGAGGTGGCACGGAGGGTCTCATTCCTTGTTGCTGTGGGATGCCTGGCTATGGTGGCATCATACCTCCAATTGGTCCAACTGGTAGATTACCTATGGGGACCTGTCCTTGCTGAGGAAGATTACACTGATATCGCGGTAACTGTGCCCTTCTCTCTTCCAGGTATATAGCTTCATCTGGATTGATCAACTTACTGTGTGCATTGGTTATTCTAAGTGTAGCAGGCTTACTTGTTATTGAAGCTGCTGGTTTAGCTGCAGTACTATTTGTTGTACTAGTGGTTGAATCTGTAGACTATGTATACGTAGGGAATGTAGGGGTTCTGTAGTTGTTGCAGTGGTACTATTTAAGGGTTTGAAATCTGTCCCAACAGGTCCTTGGACAGCTGCCTGAGCCTGTCCAGCACTGGGAGAAAGAGGCTTAGTAACTGGAGGCTGTGGAGCAGGTACAGTTGCTGTTGGTGCAGGTGGTCTATTAATACCTGGCACGGAAACAGTCTGTGCTTGGGTGACTGGAGGAATTCCAGAATGTGGAATGGGGGTGGGGGGAATACCTGGTGGCATTCTAGGCATCAGAGATGGTATTCCTCGCCCAGGTGGCATATTCCACCCATCATTATGTTTTCACTGCAAAGTGACTGGGTGCATTTTCTCTGATGATGCAATCCAGGTGGCATGCCTGGCATAACTAGTGGCATTCCTGGCATCAGAGGAGGATTACCTGGCATTAGTGGAGGTATGCCTGGAGGCATTCCTGGTGCTCCTGGTACTGGTGACAGTCCTGGCTGCACCACTGGGGGAATATAATCTTGTTGATGTTGAACAGGTTGTGGTTGAAATAAAGTTGAGGCTGCAGAATTGTCATCATCATATTCATCGGAATCATCTTGTTGCTTCTTTCCATGACTTTCTTGTGTTTTCTGTTCAAAAAGTCATAATCTTTCACCCATGTCTTTTTCTTTTTTTGAGATGGAGTCTTGCTCTGTTGCCAGTCTGGAGTGCAATGAAGTGATCTCAGCTCACTGCAACCTCTGCCTCCCAGGTTCAAGTGATTCTCCTGCCTCAGTCTTCCAAGTAGCTGGGACTACAGGCCCGCGCCGCCACACCCAGCTCATTTTTGTATACGTAGTAGAGATGGGGTTTTACCATGTTGGCCAGGATGGTCTTGATCTATTGACCTCATGATCCATGCACCTAGGCCTCCCAAAGTGCTGGGATTACAGGCTTGAGCCACTGCACCCGGCCTTTATTCATGTCTTTTTCATGGATCTCTTTTCCATGTCCATGCTGTGTATATGGCATATATCATACATATGTCTGTTCTCCCAGGTATTGCATTTGGTGCAGCATCTATTGTATCTTTATGTACCTGCATGCAATGAATAGCTAAACCAGGTCCTGTATACAATTTCTTGTGACATATATGACATTTAAAATGCTTTGCTTTTTGGTGCTATATATGGGTCGTCTTATCATCAAAATCTCTATATAATACCAGCACCATGGCTTCAACTGTTTCTTCTTCTTCTTGTGACCCATACTGTGCTCTACCAACAAAGTAAAAAAGGAGGAGAAAAGAAGCAGGAGAAACACGGCGAAATATCACTCATGTTCCCAACCCAATGGTTACCACCGCGTCCCACAGGAAGCAGACACAAAATGCTATATTACATTATAAATACATACTTATAAGTATATTTAAGAGTGTTTATAAGTATCATAAGTGTATTATAAATATATTTTATTTATTTATTTCTTTATTTTTTGAAGATGGAGTCTTGCTCTGTTGCACAGGCTGGAGTGCAGTGGCCTCTTCTTGGTTCACTGCAAACTCTGCCTCCCAGCTTCAAGCAATTCTCCTGCCTCAGCCTCTCAAGTAGCTGGGACTACAGATGCATGCCACCACATCTGGCTAATTTTTGTATTTTTAGTAGAAACAGGTTTTCACCATGTTGGCCAGGCTGGTCTCGACTCCTGACCTCGTGATCCACCCGCCTCAGCCTCCCAAAGTGCTAGGATTACAGCTGTGAGCCACTGTGCCTGGCTTATACTTATATTTGTATTATATAATATATAACTGATTTTATATATAATATATAAAAATGTATATATATTTAGAAAATAATATTTATATAAATTTTTATAATGTATAAAATCAGTTATATATTGTATATATAATTTGCATATATCTAGACAGAGAAAGAAATAGGATAAGGGATTTTTAAAATTATTATTATTTTTTTCTTAACATCTCCTTCTTGAATTAAGGATAAGGGATTTATTAGGGGAATTTGGCTCCATTACGGAGGCTGACAAGTCAAATGATAGGCTCTTTGCAAGCTGGAGAACCAGGAAAGCCAACAGCATGACTCAGTCCAAGTCTGAAGGCCTTGGAATCTATAACTCTCAGTCGGGCCCAAGTCCTGAGGAGGTGGCTGGTGCAAGTCCTAGAGTCCAAAAGCCCAGAGAACCTGCAGTTCTGACACTGAAGAGCAGGAGACAGATGCCTCACCTCCAAAAGAGAGAGCATAGACTTTACAAATGGAGTCACATTTGCCTAGTGGATTATATCCAAATGCCAGTGAGCACTGATTTTGTGACATTGTGGCCCAGTGAGTTCAGAGACAGAGATTCACATTTGAATCCAGCACTTGCTTGCTTTGTGGCTACAGCAAATAACTTACTCTAGCTCACCTCAAATTGTTCAATAAAATAGGAGTGATAAGATTGGTTGTTGTGAGGATCTAATAAAATAGTGTATGTCACATTTCCTGGTAGTTTTTATTATCATAATGTCAGCAGTACTTGCCTTGGGGATGGTGTCGTGGAGACAGGGGAAATCTCAGTAGATTTTGGTCACTGGCTTCTGCAAAGACACTTCCTGAATTTAGAAAAGTTTTTGTGAGGAAGTAGAGAAAGGCGGGATCAAATGTAAAGTGCCTCAGACAATTCATTGGGTGAAACATTTTGAATTAGACAGAAAAGCTCAAAAGGGGTAAGTGCAAAAAGTTTACAGGATAAAATCAAAATGCTGAGATGCAAGGTGGGAAAGGTGGGCTTCAGCTTATATGACAGCCCTGCTAGAATGAGTTCACTAAGTGCTGTTTATTTATAAAGTCAGTAAGATAGTGGCATGCATGGAAGGCAAAGGGCAGGAAGTGGCTTCTCAGCTTTTCCCAGCACTGGGCTGACCTCAACTGTGGCTACTTTGTGTCTCCCTTTTAAGGGGGATGTTGGGAACTGGCAGAGCTCCAGAGAAGAGCAAAAATGTAATTAAGGCTTGGAAAATAAAGGCTGTGAGGAAAGACCAGAAAGCTGTAGGGTTATTTAGCTTAGACAAGAAAGGTCTAACTGATTTCAAGGGTCATTAACAGAAAGACGTCGGTTGTTTCTCATCTCCACAAACATGTCAAGAGGAAAGAAGCTCATGTTGCGCTGGAGAAGGGGTTGGGCTGTGAGAATTAACAAGGAGGCTCTGAAGCCTCGTGCTGACAATTGAAAAAGAAAATGGATTCAAGTGTAACTACTGTGTTCCCACCCATTCATTCACATTGACTTGCGAAGGTAGAGGTAGGTTTGAAAAGAAACCTGTTGTCTCCTCTTCATCTGAACTAATTTAGTTGTTTACTATTTAAATCCAGGTATTCACAAAAAGTTAGTTTGAAGGTCTAGATGCAAATTAGATGGGTTCAGAACTTTCTAGATAAGGACTAGCCCTGTTAGGTTGGTTTTGACCAGCACAATCTTTTGGCCAGGCTTATTCACTACATCGCAGGAGAAACTATATTTGGTTGTGACTTTTGGGAAGAGTCAGATAAACCCCAGCGCTGGCAACCATATTATTGCACAGCAAGGCTGCAATCATCTGAACCCGCAGGTCTCTCTTTCATTTTGGCCCTTTGGCTGGCAGTAGAAAAGGTGGAGCCCTGCAAGGATTATGAGGAGTTTCTCAGGATGTGGTGGTGTCCAAGTTAGAGGGAGAGGAGTACATTTGTTTCTGTAAATATGTGGTCTCTCAATGCTCCCTGCTATGCTTACAATTTAGGTGACTGAATTCAGTTTGGATACTTCTGCCACAAAGTGAGGGCATGCTTTGTGAGATTTTTTTTTTTTTTTTTTGAGACGGAGTCTGACTCTGCCCCCCATGCTGGTGTGCAGTGGTGTGATCTCACCTCACTGTAACCTCCACCTGCGGGTTCAAGCAGTTCTCCTGCCTCAGCCTCCTAAGTAGCTGGGACTACAGATATGCGCCACCACACCCAGCTATTTTTTTTTTTTTTTTTGTATTTTTTTTTTTAGTAGAGACAAGTTTTCACCATGTTGGCCAGGCTGTCTCGAGCTCCTAACCTCAAGTGTATCCGCCAGCCTTGGTCTTCCAAAGTGCTGGGTTTACAGGTGTGAGCCACTTCCCCACTTCGCCACCTTAGTGAGGATTTCAGAAAGACTCAAAGAGCTTTACCCATTATATTTCTGTTCTTTTTTTCCATCTACCATCCTTTCCATTAGCATTGCTGTTATTAATTTTCAATTATCTTAGTAATGCAGAACAATATATCTTGGGATATTTCCATGTTTGTGTGTATAGCTCTACTTTCTTTGTTTTAACCACTGCTCGTTTATTCCTTGGTATAGATATACTGTCATTTATTTTTGATATCATTTAAAAATACTTTAGTAATAACAGTGAAGGCAGAATAATGGTTACCTTTGGAGGGGTATTGGTTGGATGTGGTGTGAAGGAATCTCCTGGGAGGATGCTGTAAATAAATGTTCTATATTTGGCTCTGAGGGTGATTACATGGGTGTACACATAGATATAAAAATTGTCATTTGTATACTTTACATATTTTATGGTATGTAAATTATACCTCAATATGAAAGTTTTTCTTTTTTTTTTTTTGAGGCAGTCTTGCTACGTGGTCAGGCACCAGGCTGGAGTGCAGTGGCATTATCTTGGCTCACTGCAACCTCTGCCTCCCAGGTTCAAGCAATTTTCCTGCCTCAGCCTCCCGAGTAGCTGGGACTACAGGCGCGTGCCACCACACCCAGTTAATTTTCATATTTTTAGTAGAGATGGGGTTTCACCATGTTGGCCAGGATGGTCTCAATCTCTTGACCTCGTGATCAGCCCGCCTCAGCCTCCCAAAGTACTAGGATTACAGGTGTGAGCCACCGTGCCCAGCCAAAACAAAAGTTTTTAAACTGAACTAGAATCATCACATTTTAAAGATATTATAAAGTGTTAAACTTTATTTTTAAAGAAATAGGGATGCAGAAAAGGAGAGGTGGGGAGAAAGGGAGCTAATATTTATTAAGTACCTCCTACCTGTGTATTATGTAATTTCTTATATTACATCAATATCTCTGTGGAGTGGGTATTCTTTGTTTTTGAGACAGGATCTCACTCTGTCACCTAGGCTGGAGTACAGAGGTGTGATCATGGCTCACTGAAGCCTCAACCTCCTGTGCTCAAGTGATCCTCCCACCTTAGCCTCCCGAGTAGTTGGAACTATAGGAGTGCTTGACCACATCTTGTTAATTTTTTTATTTTTTATAGAGATAGGGTTTCATCATGTTGCCCAGGCTGGTCTTGAACACCTGAGCTCAAGTTATCTGCCCATCTCAGTCTCCCCAAGTGCTGGAATTACAGGTATGAGCCACTGTGCCCAACTATTTTCTTTTTCTTTTTTTTTTTTTTAATTTTTCTGGGTACATAGTAGGTGTTTGTATTCGTGGAGTACCTGAGATGTTTTGATATAGGCATGGAATATGAAATAAGCACATCAGGGTAAATTGGGTATCCATCCCCTCAAGCATGTATTCCTTGAGTTACAAGCAATGCAATTATACTCTTTATTTAAAAATGTACAATTAAGTTATTATTGACTATAGTCACCATGTTGTGCTATCAAATAGTAGGACACATTCATTCTTTCTAGCTATTTTTTGGTACCTG